TTTTAAGTGAAATGGTCAGCGAACAGGTGAAAAGAAAGATAACTTGACATTTATGCTTTTGCAATAATTATGTGCACTTTGATAGTTTATTTTGAAAACATGTTCAATAATTCACACAACAAATATAATTTTCTATAAATATCATTCGGAATTTATCGGTAACGCTCAATTCTTTAAAGGTGCGGGGCAGTGTTTTATAGTTTACGTATTTTTACATTGTATCATAGAAACCGAAATATTTCGGATTTGCAGGTTATTGTACGTAAATTGATATTTTTAGATTGATTCTGATCATCACTCTTATTGTTTCCTTAATTTTAACCTTAACGGCGAATGACCTTTTCCAAAATTTTGCAATTGTACCAATTTGAAAGTATTACGGAAAGTGTCGAAATATTCCGATCGTTCCCGTTTATGATTGCGGAGAGAGAAGTTTGACCTTTTGGTATTGGGATATTTGACCTTTACCATTGTCATTACTTTCGTTTTTTGTATTTTCTGATCGCAAAATCAGTAAATACATAGCTAACATCCACGGTCTAACACAAAATTTCCTCACAGACCTAACAACGCAAAGTAGTTCTCACTCTTAACTACTTAAAAACCAGCAATTTAAAAGAAAGAATAATTTTTAATGTAGGCATTAAACGAATTACAGTGCATTTAAAGTTTACATTAGTCAATAGAAATATGAGGTTACAATCACAAATTTCGCGGATGAAAATGTTCGACTATTTTCGTAAAGCTTAATCAATGAAAATGCTATTTTTAGCTTTGTCGATTACCGAATACTCCAGAGCACTCCAGAGCGTAGTACACAAATAAATCTGACTGTCGAGTAATGGAATATATACATGTCGGACTGTTTTGGCGAGAAGATTTTCGCTAAATTATGTTCAACAGTGTTTAACAACAGGTTTATCGTGAAAAAATACCTCGAAATTAATAAGGATTACAAATACGAAATGAAAATTCTCAATTTTAGAATTACAATATATTTGTTTTTATTCACGCTACATACGTATTACTTCACTGTTGTGTAGAGGTAAAATTTTTAAAGAGTCTTTTTAAAGGAAGTAGCCACGATATGCAAGGATAAAGTGTGGCTGTAATAAAAAAATGAAAAATGATTTTTGATGCAACTCTAGGCATGCAAAATTCCATATGTATCAATCACAAACTGTTAAACGCAGTCGCTGCGTAAGATGCATAATAGTATATAAAAAAAACTTATACTGGAAAGATCAGAAAATACCACAGAGCATGCAGGCCTTTGATTGTTTTCGTATGCTTTTAAAAAATAACCTTCAGCGAACTCGTATATACAGTAAGTACTTATTATATTGATCCATTTGTACCGTGACAGTAAGTGACATTTAGCTGTTAAATGAAAAGTATTAAAGCAGCATGTCTCATGATTCATGCTAATTTTCATTTTCAAATGTATAAAAATGTAAAATATTGTGACGGGAACAAGAGAAAGTAATGTACACTTTGCAAACTGCACTAACAACCATGTAAATTACCAAGAAGAAGTCAAAATATGCAAAACTAGCCCTTAATACGCTAGTCACGCAGTAGAAATATGGAAATAAATCGTACAAAATCGGTCATAAATCGCACATAACATGAAAATTATTACTTGAATATTAAATCTTTACAGTATACTTTCCTTAACATCTCAGTACATTTTTTCTAAATTTTGATTTTCTTTAAATATGTTGGCTCATCTGGCCATGCAGCTTTAAAGAAAACAGAATTGAAGCGGCTAAGAGACATATATTGAGTTCAAGGGAAATGTACTAGTATCTGTTAATAGTTCATAAATTATTAGCTTACAAAAACTGTTCTGGATTAGAACAGATGTAGTCGGTAACAGATTTCTTGATAATGTAGAACAACGATACATAATTTTGAAGTTTATGTTTGTACTTTTAACTTATTAAAGTAAAAATAACCCTTAAAGGCGTGTTGCAATTTCCAAATAGAATGGTCATAAGTTACATTTTCTTTATTATCTCATGGAGTTTTGTGCTTTCGTTCGTGTCAAATAAATCTGATATTCTTTTAAAAAGTGTCAGTTGAATATCAGATAAGTTACTTATAATCCAAGATCTAAAGATTGTGAAATATAGGCAATCATTATTAGTTACCATCATCGTTCTGAGTAATAATAACAGTATGCAACAAGCGCTTATATTTCATATCACTCCTATGACAAACAAATCAACAAGAAACCTGGCCGTCACCCTCATTGGGTTATCAGATGTGTTTGAAGGAGAATGCCAAAAAATTGCGAACTTTCGATTAAACCAATCGCAACTTTTTCGGCCCTTCCCATCAAAACTTCGGGTAAGGGACACCTCGACGATAATTCATAAATTCTTTATCCGAAGTTTGACGGGAAAGGCCGAGAATATGCGATCAGTTGCGTTATATGGCGATCAGTTACGTAATATGGCGGAAATACTTCACTTTTCATTGAAATTTGCCCTTTTGGTCGCTTGTTTTATTTTTTTAATTCATGGACATATTTTGTACATACAGAACAAAAAAGACAGCAGAACGAGGTTTTTTTTTCGTAATATTTGTTATAGTAATACTACTCATATCGACCCAAACATGTCTTGTGTACATTTAACCTACATATTTATCCAGAGAATGTGAACTGGTGGCCGTGCAACAATAAGCCTACTGGTGGCGACTGATTCTACCCGTGCGACCCGTGCAGACCAAGATCAGCCAGTATATCCGTCCGTTAGATCAGATTTACAGTGTTACAGCTTTTTAGTTAGTACATTTTTATAAATTTGCCGTGAAATGATAATGCCTTCAAATGTCCAGGTAAAAAGACGTACAAGTCCAATTAAGATACGGGAAAGATTTAAACGTTTGAAAGACTTTTTTGCTACCGGCCTTGAAAATTTTAACTGATAAAAATTCGCCACTAAAACGAAAAAAAAAATATTGTTCAAATAATCAAATGTATCCGAATGAAAGATGTTACATGATTGTATTTGTGATAGGAAATTAACCCGGTAGGTCGCCACCAATGTCGTTTTATGGGTGGCATGTTGACATTAGTTAGTTTTATGACCAAGAGACATTTTATTACTTGACACCAAATTTTTCAGGATTTCTTGAACCGAGCCGAGTGACTATCAACGTTGTTTATGATAACATGATTACATGTAAATACAATTACGATATATGCATGTTAAAAAGATAGTTTTTAACTAAACAACATAAACTATATTTATAAACAGTCTATAACGTATGAAACCTGTCGTCACATGTCAGTTTTATTTCTTCTTATTTGAACAATTAAAATGAAACAATTTAACTTTTCTCGAGAGACTACTTGTGAAAAAAAGACCTCTTTTTCCATTCTACAGTACTGGTCTCTAAATACAATGGCATCTGTTTAATGTATAAAATTACTGTAACGAGGTACATTGATTTTATATATGTAAATCTGAAATGTAGCCAACCTAATGTAAACTCTGGTTTCCATCTCTCAGACAATCCGTCTTTTATCAATGTTAAGTGAGTTTAATTTAAGCATTAAATTGTTTAACAATTTAACAATGTAAAAATTTGAAACAAATAACAAGACCCAACCCCCGCCACACAAAAATAAACCCCAACAACATCAACCCCCCCCCCCCCCCCCCCCCCCCCCCCCCCCCCCCCCCCCAAAAAAATAAATAAAAAAAAATAAAACAAAAACAAAACAAAAAAAACCACAAAAAAACAACAAACAAAACCCACCAAAACAACAACAACAACAACAAAATGACTGCAGTTCGGTGAATATTGCTAAAGCGTTCTTGTGTGCTAATGTGTGAATGTGATTTGATACGAGACATCCCATTCTGGTCTATATGCTTTGTTCTAGAATTTGCATTTGTCAAAATGGTATGAAACTTTTCCAAATAATTTCAGTCCAATTCAAAAACAGTGGCAGCTCTGAGACAATCCGTCTTTTATCAATGTTAAGTGAGTTTAATTTAAGCATTAAATTGTTTAACAACTTAACAGTGTAAAAATTGAGACAAATAACAAAGCCACCACATCCCCGCCACATACAAAAAAAAAAACATCACCCCCCCCCCCCCCCCCAAAAAAAAAAAATAAAAAAAAATTAAAAAACAAACAAAAACAACAAAAAACAACAAACAAAACCCACCCAAACAACAACAACAACAACAACAACAACAAAATGACTGCAGTTCAGTGAATATTGCTAAAGCGTTCTTGTGTGCTTATGTGTGAATGTGATTTGATACGAGACACCCCATTCTGGTCTATATGCTTTGTTCGTCAAAATGGTATGAAACTTTTTCCCAATAATTTCAGTCCAATTCAAAACAGTAGCAGATTAATTTTCGTCCTGTAGTTATAAGCGACCAATTATAAACAATAATATTATTACAACTAGTAGTTTGATTATTTGAACAGATAAAAAGCAAACGATTCCACAGAACTACCTGGCAAAAAAAGGTTCCCGAGCTCTTTACCCCCTCCCTCCCACTTAATGCACTGGCAAATATCACGCAATTGCCCTTTTTGTACTGAATTAACGCGTTAAACATAATAGGTGCCAGCATACGCTTCTTTAAACGTCTAAATATCTGTTTTTGCTCCCTTCACCAGTTTATATCCCCAAAAAATCTAAATGAGTTAAATATAAATTCAGACGTATTACAAAAAAAAACATTTTATATCTGAGTTCACGCTGCACTCGGTCAATTTGACTTTTTGGTTTTCGACCTCTTAGAATTGATTTTTTAAGGAATTGTATGATTATATATATAGATATTTTTCTTAAATAAAACTTTGAAACTGTTCTTATTATACCCATTTCATTCCCGATATTTTATACTAATAAATCTCATTATCTTAAATATATTAGAGATAGAATCTACGAATTTAGGTTTTAAGCATAATAATTAAGCTCAGTGCTATAAAATATATAACTAATGAAGAAATTTACTTACTATGCTATGTCAAAAGCATCGTTGCTGTTTAAAAAATCCTGTAAAATAATTGTGAACCCTAGTTTAAAATATAAGGTAAAATGAATCACATATTTGTTTTCAAACAGTTTGACACTAGATTTAAATGACCCGGTCTTCTATTAATGCAACTGCGTATGGTCGATATTTCAAATTATTGTTATTGAAGTTTATATAAATACATCCAATATTACAGACACTGACGTGTTCACATATATTTTTTAACTAAATGTAGCAATAACGACTGACACTCCAGCCATACTCACGATTAACAAGTGTTGATATTTTTTTCCACAATGGTTATATAGAATATAGGCTACGCAGTGTCAAAGTGACCCAGCTCGTATGTAAACAGCATAACATTGAATAACGAAGATAAAGTTTTATCGTCTGCTAGTCGTTTATTTGTACATTAAGCTGAACTCTGGAAATTGATTCATTAAATCAAAGATCAATTATATATCGTTTCCACGATTATGATTATTGAACTTAAATGTTCGCCAGGTCATGCTGATCTTATGAAAGTAGGACATGTAGATACGAAATTATCGTTTGGTTCATACAGCGGTCAATCTTCAGTGGTCAACCCAGGACACCGTCTAACGTCTACATATCTACCTATCTAGGTGACCGAAAGATCAACTATGGTCTCGCCATGACACGGTCACTTTGTACATAACAATTTACCATGAAGTGCAGAACTATATTGTTTGCGTAAGCGTTCGACATTTAGCATAATATTGGATGTTACGCGGTTTTACGTTAAGTTATAGTGAAAGGGAGCGTTACAAAAGTAAGCAAAGCATATTAAATTGCAAAATGCTGATGTGAACCCAATATATAAACGGGGGTAGAGCTGTCTTTCCTTTTCGTTCATTTAATATAATTGGCACCAACTTGTCATCAAATAAATATCCTGTTAAATTTATATAATTCGTTCTTTAAGAATGCACCACACGAGTTGGTTAGTGAACACCTTTCTACATGTACATTTTTGAAACAGACAATATTACATAATGTACTTTAACAGCAATAAATCTATTTCAATTTGTGAGCGACCAGATCCGGTTTTCAACATTCGGGGGATCAACATCGCTGAAAAATTAGTCCTTCTTTAATGCTCACTGTGTCAGAAAATCTTGGACGTACAAGTGTTCACAGGTTTATAACTGAAATATACGTATAAATTAAACAACAACAACAACAGCAGCAGCAACAACATACAATATTATTTTGTTTGTTCATGTCCATTTATAACGTTTAAACGGCAATAACTCACTGGTGCATAGTTAAAGGTACATTATCCCTTAGATTTTTTTTCCATCTTCAGAAAGAGAAAATACAAGTTTAAAAATGATTAAATAATTGTTTTAGAACATCTTATATAGTGACATACTTATTACCTGAAGAAAATAGCACTAAGGTGAACTTATTTATCATAAAAGTAGGGAAATGTTAACAAAAGTAGTAATTTGACTTCCATACAAAATACCAAATCACTAGTATACTAATTAACAAAAGCAACAGAAGCAACAAATGTTTCAGGCCATTGAGAAACATTCTGGAAAATAGAATAGGACACCAAAAACAAAACAAAAACTGTTAATAAATACATTTTAAAGATGTTTGCTTTAATATAAAAGCTACATAGATAGGGGACGCTACCCGACAGATGTGCTTACCAGTATTATCTGCCCTAGGTACAGTACAAATATTTCAAGTTTGTAATTAATATTTTTAACGGTTAAGAAAAATGCAGAATAATTTTCATAAAAAGGGAAATAATGAAGCGCAAAACGGTTGTTTTTTTTAAAGAAGCATTACTTTTACAAAAATAATTAATTTCTAGGATTATCTGTCTTTTTAAAATGGCATTCTTTTATGACAGGCACCGAGTTTTGAAGTGAAAACCTGTCATAGTATCTGAGAAATATACCTTAAAGAAAAGGATAACTAACGCCAACGGCGACGGCGGAGAGAGGGTCATGACAATAGTTTAACTAATTTTTAGCTAAAAAACAAAGTTTCAAGTTTATTATCGCGCATTTGGAGAAACTTGCTACATCTATGATTGAACGTGCGAAAATAACAGGAAATCTCCTCAGTCCTCATTTATAACGTGTAAGTATAAATAAGTTTAGTTTTATCACTTCTAAGTCACGGCGTTAAAACAAATTTTTCAAAGTAAAAGTACTTTAGCGACTTTACCAGGTAAGAAATTGACAACTCTTATTGATCACAACTTTTCACAAGGGTTCCTGTATTACGAGGTATCTTCAATAAATTTGTTCTCTTAAAAATAATAAACCTTTTTAAATGAGGTGTCATTTCCGAAGCAATCAAGTTATTTGTGGTTTGATCTCTAATATAATTATAAGCTTTGCAGTATACCTAACAAGGGGCAACCACAATGGCCGACGACGAGTGCTTTATCATGACTGCAACAGAAATAAGTTAAATGAATATAATTTCTTCGGGGCGGATGAAAATATTTAACTTATGTTTTAGTATGTTCTTGACATTTAAGTTACAAACGTGTTCTCACTTATTACAAATTGTTAGTACCATATAAAAACTATTCAAGCTAAGTTGATATAAAATCTGTCAAAGAATGACAAATTTATGGACTAGCCATGCATATCAATGAAATATTATTATGGATTTCAAAATAACCTTGACCTTTGGACTGTCGACCTCGTTCACTACATTTTGGACGTTCACGTGTGACCTTGACCTTTGAGTTGGAGATCTGATTCTTTTGCGCTGTCATCATCTCCAATACATTTATGTCCAGTTACTTACGAATCCAACCAGGAAATAGTAATATTTTGACTGGACACGGATATCATTGTACATTTCACTTGAAGTCAAAGTGTTGCATTGACTTTAAAACTACAAACCTTGATTTTGCGCGAATTTTGAAAACGTGAAAATGTAAGCATTAGTGAAGGATTAAACATGAAATCAAAATAACAAAACGTGAAGAACTTAAAACATGAAGTCAATGTGAACTTTGTTGAAATAAAAACAATGCAACAACTTAACGAGAGCATTGGTTAAAATGCTGGAAACATGAGCATTAGTGAAGAACTTGAAACATAAAGTCAGCGTATGCATTAGTGAGCATCAATAAAAAAATTGTAACATGAAGTCAAAGTGAGCAAAAAGAAGGACTTGAAATATGAAGTCAAAGTGAAAATTAAAGAAGGACTTAAAATATGAAATCAAATTGAGCATTAAAGAAGACTTGAAATATGAGTCAATGTCAGCATTAGTGAAGACTTGAAGCATTTAAAGTGTGCATACTTGAAGAACTTGAACCATGAAGTGAACGTGAACAAAAAAGAATAACTTGAAACATAAAGTGTCATTACGAGTGCCTCCAAAAACAATCTCCAATACGAAATGTTAATAACATTTGACGTCTATATTAATATAATCTATCCAAAATCAAAATTACATTTCAGTGAAACATTACTTAAGACTTAAGGTATTGAAACATGAAGTGAGAAGAATTTAAAACATCACTCTTATAGATTTGTGCTAGCTTTTTATGACCAAAAAACACTTTAATAAGTAACAAATGTTGTGAAGTTGAAGTGCATAAAGAAACCCTTTACTAAATAATACCTATAACAAGTCAAAATAAGCAGAAATAACTAATGAGGTCTAAAAATGACTCAATGATGTTTTATTTTTAGCATAAATCATTCAAAAAGTCACTCAAATTGTAGATCTATTGTTTATACTTTTCTTAAGATATTTCCGAATTTTGATCTTTAAGAAAAAATAAAAAGTTAATAACTCAGTTTTAATAGTTTGAAAAATATGTATGGTGATAAAACAGTGAACACGAATTGCATTTTATTTGACCTTGGCAATTTTGGCCTAGATAGATAATACCCTATGTGTCAATGTCGGCATGTCTATCACGATCTCGGCTTGACCCGGTCAAATTAACATTGCCCTGTCGAATTAGCGATTACTTGCATATATACATATAGCATTAAGTCAATAATCGAATGATATCTTTATTTATTATTTTTTTCCATTTATGTAAAAGTATATATTTTTTTGTTATTTCCTTTCTATGTACAAAGTAACATACATTAAATATGCTTTAGATCTTTAAAGAATTCTATTTAATATTTCATGCCTGACAATTAGACATGATTGTCATTGAAGGTAATACATTGTAATATGAAAAAATCCATCGAAATAAGTCGAGTCCGGAAAGCTGGAATCTATATTTCAATGTACATGTATATTTAAAACGTTACAATGACTGTTTCTGTATATAATACTTTTATCAAATATGTCTCTCTCAATTTATCGCAAATTGTATGTTGAAACCCTGTATACATAAGTATCAAATTTATGTAATGGAAATATCTGTATAAGAATTGACATTTTTCCCTTTTAAAAGTACATGTACTAACAACTGTTCCAACTGCAGTGCTCCGTCTGTCGGTAGAATCTGTCGACGATACCTCATAATTTGAGCCGCGTCACGACAAAACCAACATAGTGGGTTTGCGACCAGCATGGATCCACGGATGCGCAGGCTGGTCAGGATCAATGCTGCTCGCTTACCAACTGTATTACAAGTGGAGAAACTGACAGCGAACAGCATGGATCCTGATCAGACTGCGCGGATGCGCAGGCTGGTCTGGATCCATGCTGGTCGCAAACCCACTATTTTGGTTTTATCGTGACGCAGCTCATATAATAATGCGTCTGCTATTGACAGTAAACTTATTCAAACATACACCGTTAATATCAACTGTAAATATACATTCTTGACCGCTAGATGTACCTTTCAGCTAGGTCGTATCAGGTCAGCGGACCGCGTTTGACCACGTATGAAAAGCCAATTGTTGGATTCAGGCATATCGTACAAGAGAGCTTAATCAATTGAATAAACAATAAGAGTGGATTAATAGACATCGATGAAGTGTTCTGGCTAGGTCACGAGGGCACCCTGACACCTGCAATTAAATACAATATTTCCTGCTACTTCAAGGGAACGATTTATTGAAATAAGGTCTTTTAAATATAGATTGCGCAACCCGGACCAACGGCTTATAGCGAGCTTAAGTGACAATAGATTGCTCATTTTTCTGAGACATACATTGAGTGGCCTTAACAACTGTTTATGGGCAATCATTTAGTGGCTTTTGTTTGAAAAAAACAACAACAAAAAAAACAACAACGAACAAACAAACTACTTCTTATGCTTAAAAGAAGCCAATGCATTCCCTGATATACCGTTTCATATCATTATTCTATCAGGTCATATTAGAATTCTACATTTTCAATGGTAGGTATTGCTTTATT